TGTAGGAGATTTGAATATTCTGTGCATTCATTGTGCTTTGGTTTCTTCCTGAGATAACTTTTGTGTATAGGAGTGGGTGAGAATGTCAATGAATGGAAACTTTTCCATTCATGTTTATAGCTGCTTTAGTTAAAAACTAACCTCTGAGTTGTCCGGGGCAGAAGAATGCCTGGTTTCTCTTTACCGTTTGAACTTGGTTATGCTGTAGATGCTGAGTTGCTCATTTCTGTCAGGACTCAAATGCCTCTGGGCATGTTCAAAGATGCAACTCGAGACAGCTTGGGAACTTTTCAGTTCAAACAAGGGAAGTGCCTTTGGCAAGGCAGTTGAGCAAGAGTTTCTCAAGATCACAATTTTAAACATAGGTAGGTACTTACATTTCAGTGAAATCCTTTCCATTATCCTCACTTCTTTTCTAATCTAGCCTTTGCTGACTAGTTTATTTTAACTGAGTAACTTCATTGTTTTCACTGAACATAGCATTGGTCCGCATTTCTTGGTCTATACTTTGCCAGTTGGAAGTATCTAAATTAAAACAGATTTCTCAGACACTGGTAAGATAAGCAGAGTGGCAAAGGCAGAATGGAGAGAACTTCGGTTTTGTTAAGTGCTAGTTGTCTTGTTTGTTAGTGATTGTTACAACTATAAAAACTTTTTTGAAGTAAAAGTTTAGATCAGAACAGTGTGTAGAATTTAGCAAGAAATGTAGGAGCCATAACTTTTGATTTTTGAATACAGCAAATCCAATTGCAATCCAACTGTATTTAATTCTTACAGGCATGAAGTTGATTTTGTGCCCAGTTGGTTGTTAGTAGTGATCATTCCCACATGTTTCACTTCTCAGAAAGCCATTGTTTTAATTCTCAGAATGTTTTAGTGGTAAAAATGGGTAAATGTGGTTTGTATCTGGCAACTAGATACCTTAATGTGTTGATATTTTACCATTTATGAACTGTAGGACCTAAGATGGAGTAAAATTGATGTGAGTCAACTTTTTTTGTATTGCACACAAAATGAGTGTTGAGCAGTGAAGGTAGCTAGTAGTTCTATGGCTATATTCAAAAAGTCTAGCACAAAGAAAACACCTTGCAAAAGAATTTGTATTTTAATCCATTGGTGAGTATATAAGGTGGAGTGGTTGGGTTTTGGTTTTTTGGGTTTTTTTGCTTGAGTTTTTACTATCTAACATTTTCAGGCAGAGCTGTTATTTCATTTGTTAGAGCAAATTAACTCAGCTGCAGAACCTATTACCAATGTTAAATTAGAACTTAGGAAGTAGGTCAGTTATTACCAGGAGGTTGATGTGCCTTACCTTTGGATATTGATATCTAACAACTTTTCTTGTATTATGTCAAAGCAAGACACAGAACAAATCAGGTGACCTGTCTGGAGACAGTTTTCTACCTGAGGACTTATCCTGAAATGTTCACAGTCTCCATTTATGTCTGTGCAGTTGTTTTGAGGCGTTTACCTTCAACATCAATAGAATAAATTATGCTTTACTGAGATAAGCAATTAGCACTAGAAGTTGCTTGCAGGATGTGCTTCTTAAAAAGAGTATTTTTGAACTTGAATATTTGTAGAGCTTGATTGCAATTACAGCTGAATCCAGGTGGTTCCATGCTTGTGGTTCTTCAAACTGGATTTCCTCCAATATTTTTATGACTGCTTTCCATTCTAGTTTTAAGACTTGTAATACGAGTTTTAATCCTGTAATACAAGAATAAAAAACAACCTTGAGAATTTCTATACTTACAATACTCTTGTAAAGCTGGGAATAAGGAGCCTTGGTTGTTCCCCGGTTTATCACTGCAGAATAAGCATTGTTTGTACTTCCTCCAAAGTCAATCTCGGATGGTGTAGTATCAAGTATTTATCACAGCCTTTTAGTGTCAGTAGGAGTGAAAATACTGTGGTCATTACAATTTTACTTCTGTGTATTTTCCCTTAAAGAATTATCAAAATGGATTTGTAAATTCTTGTTGTACTTTGTACAACCCTTTCAGGCTACCTGCTTCACTCTGAAGTCTTACTAGAAGCCAATTGTATGTGTCAGAATGGATGATACTGATGTCTTTTACTATCGCTAGCTCAACAGCAGGCATGGACCTGGACTTGGTTGAGTAACATCTCAGGGATTTAAGCTTTTCCAAGTCATTGTCTTTTTAAATGTTGTGTAAATGAGTTTATTGCTGATAACTGTCAGAGACACTCTTTAATAGATAAGCTGCCTTGCTGCTGGTTTACACATAGCAAGGAAGGAAGGAATACAACAATATATTTTGTGGTAAAAAGCTTGCATGGAGAATTACAATATCCTTAGTTATTTCTGGTTCCTATTTACCTGTGCTGCAAAACATAAGTTTTGTCAGTCAGCGGTGTCCTTTCAGGGGGAAGATTTGAAAAAATTGTGAAACGTTGGGAAAAGTAGCACACACAACCTCAAAAGTAATTGTACTGCTGAATGTTGGCTTCCTTAAAAGGTTGTAGGGAAGGTTTGTAAGTTGATATCCTGAAACTATGTCAGGAGTTCTAGCTGCTAATCGTAGTTGTCCAAGGATCTGCCCCATCTCATCCTGGTGCTAGAGTTGAAACCTGAAAGATTTTCTGTGGAGCTTCAAAGAGCTTCCAAATGTCCATAGCTACTTTGAAGGAAGTAATAGCTACATAGGAAACAATGGATAAGATTTTGAAGCCTGTCTTGCAAAACACCATGTACTGGTTAAGTAAAAAAGATTTGTTGTCAAATGACAAAATCCTGTATGCTTATTTCTACATTCACAATGCTCATCCTTTGCTTGCTAGCTTTATCTTCAAATGCAATCTTTCTGATTTGTCAGCTCTTAGAGTAACTTTGTAACTACAGACCTTTTATACCTATTTCATGTAGGGGTTTAACTGAAGCAGAAATTAATGCTTTCTGGAAACTTACCTCCAGTACTTGGCTTTCTTGACAGTATTTATATTCTTCAAGAAAATCATGTATGAAATGGTGTTCTCTTTCTGCTGACACCATTACAGCTGCTGTGAAAATTAGGCAAAGATCCATTATGCAGCAAATGTAAAACTCAACCAATTTTTTTTTTTTTTTTTAATTATTTATCTCCTCAAGGGATAATCTAGTACTTGGCCATCTTCAACAGAATATTGGTCCCTCTAAAGGAGTGTTTCTTCACCTAGGCTAAAAATATTGACCAGTATGATGCCAGTGTTTTCTGTAATTTTCAATTATGAGCTGATGCAGAGGGGGGAATTGCTGGCCGTGAAGCATCAAAGGGATTGCCTTCCAGTTTCGCCAAGCAAATGCTTGTATCTTGCACTTGTGTTCTCTGTGGATGGATAAAGATTGATGCTCTAAGAGTCTTCTAGTAATGTAATCAAACAACATTTTCAGCATTGTCTTATGTGCAAGTATTACAAATTGTTGAGGT